AACTTGTAGATCGTGCAAAGCATCACTTACCAGATAGCTGACGTCAGGTTAGATCTGGACCGATGCAATAATTGTGTTCTCATGTTCTTGCCGGTGGGCAACAATTAGGCGTGACAGCGCATCCGTTTGGCCAATGGAAATTGGCGACTAGTGGTGGATCTCAAAATCATACCCCATTAAGGTAAGTGCCAAACGTTGTAGCCGGTTGGCTGTGTAGGCCGGGATGTTCTTTTTCGAACCAGATAGGCAGCAAGGGTTTGTGATCTGGCAGAAGCTTGAAGTGGCGGTCGTATAGCATTTTGTGGAATTTCTTGACCGCAAACACTACGGCCGATGCTTCTTTCTCGATCTGGCTGCAATCCCTCACAGCCTTCTGGCGGCATGGGCGATCGCCTTCTGAGATCCATCGGTGTACGTGTGTGAAATTACTACGCCAATCCCATAGCTTGATGCATTTGTGGTTAGGACAATCCTTTCGAAGGGATCAAAATGAGTCAAAGGCAAGTTTGAGGACAGCAATGTCTTGATCCGTTTGAAGGTAATCTGGCATTCTGATGTCCAGTTCCAAGTTTGGCCTTTGGCTAGTAGCTTGTTTAGCGGGGCACGCAGGCGGTGCATCTCAGGCAAGAATGCGCTATAGTGGCTGATGAGGCCACAAAAGAAACGCAAGGATTGTAGGTCTGTTGGTAGAGGCATTTTTCTAATGGCTTCGACGTTTGCCGGATCTGGTCGACGTCCATCCTTTTCGAGGATAAAACCGAGGTATTTGATGATCGGCGTGAAAATGTGCATTTATCTTCACGGATCCGAAAACCGTACGATTGTATGCAATCAAGCACTTCATTCAGGCGGTTAAATAGCTCCACTGGTGTTCGACCCATCACTATGACATCATCCAGATATACGGCAGCTCCAGAAACGTCCGTTAGCATGGTATCCAACAACTGTTGGAAAATAGCTGGCGCCATCTTTACACCAAAGGGCAAGCGGTTGTATTGAAATAGCCTACGATGAGTGTTGATCGTCAACAACTTCCTCGAGACTTCGTCAACATCCACTTGAAGGTAGGCATCGGACAGACCAGGTTTAGCAAAGGACTTACCACCATACAGTTTTGCAAAGATTTCTTCCGGTACGGGTAATGGGTACTGGTGGTCGTCCAGCGCGGCGTTAAGGACAGTTGAGAAGTTAGCGCAGACGTCAAGCGTGCCACTTGCCTTCTTCACTGCGACAGTGGGTGATGCTCATGATGAGTAGTTGACGGCTGTGATGACTTCGGCACGTTCCAGTCGATCGAGTTCTTGATCAACGGTTGACATGGCTGCATATGGTACCGGTCTTTAAGCCTTGAACACTGATTTAACACCTGGTCGCAAGCACAAGGTTGCCTTGAATTTCGTACAATGGCCCAAGCCATCCTGAAAGACGGGTAAATTTTCGCTTCAGCGAACGTGTAATGTCTCTGACGGAGTTCGATGATGGGTCTCGGTTGCAGATCTGATTCAAGGGAACATCGATGAGTTGCAACTTTTCAATCCAGTCGAGACCAAGAAGATTCAAATTCGGCCGATCTGAAATGTAGCACGTTCCCGACTTTTCCACACCTTTGAAAGCAATCATGCAATTAAGTCCGAACACTAAGTTCAACACACCGGCGGATGCATTATGTGCAACTTTCTGAGACTCGACCATCTTCGGTCTCTTTATGTGATTCCATGTGCTCCTGGAAATAATCGTGATGTCCGAGGCCGTGACAACTTGCAGTTTCGTTGGGATCCCACTGATCAACACACAGATAAATCGTCGTCTCGGTTTACACTCGCTTTGGAATGCGGCAACTATGGACAGAGACTCTGCATCATCCTTCCTAGAATTTCCCTTTCGATAAGATTTCTTCACGTTCTTCGGCCGAACCTGACTGCAGAATTCCTCCTTATGCCCACGCTTATGGCACGTTTGACAAATATGATGTTTGAACGGACAGAAGCGCGCGAAATGTCATTTGCCACATGCCTAGCGTGCTGTGGGAGGATTTGTTCGTACACCACTTGAAGGGTTTGTTTGAGTTGACAGTCCTGGCCTTTTTCACGAAGTGCACGGTTTTGATGGCGTGAGACCATTCCGTTCGACCAGGGCAGTGTCGTGTTCTAGTGAGCAGCCGTTTGCATTTGCTTCCTATGGCCTTCAGCGTCAGAAAAGGATCCTGATGCAGCCTAGCTAAAAGTCGCGTGCGAACCTCAGCATCACTGGGGGATTGTAGAGCGCTGACGAGAATAAGACACTTAAAATAATCGTCCGTTAAAGAGCGTAGTTTGAAACGCTCACACTCACGGTTAATCATGTCGGCTAGGGCCCCAAACTCGTCCGAATCCTGTTTGACAATTTTCAGGCATGGATAGCGAATACGAAACAAGGATACTGACCCACCAAAAATTTCCTTCAGCTGCGACACTACTTTGTCAAACGTCAGATCCTTCGGCTGTTTGGGCAGAATGTGGTCTATAAACCTTGAATGTTCAATTATTCCGAGCTTACGGAGAAGCAGTCGCACCTTCCAGGTGTCGTCCTGACGAATGAAGTCCGTCCGGAACATGTCTTCCCAGAGCTTGAACCACGCTTCGAATGTGCATCCAAAATCCGCATCATAATTGAATTCAGTGATTGCATTCGTGAGAAGATCAACAGAACTCGCCTGCATGTCCCGCGTCGCTGCTCTTGTTGTCTGCAAAGTCAAGCATTGTGTCAGATTTTCGATTATTTTCATTTGTGTCTCCATTTGAGATTGCTCCAGGAAAAGCAGCTTTGAAATTGCTCAGCAGAAAAATTCATCAGATTTCCAATTTTCTCCGTCGTCATTTGCCATAATATTCTGATTAGACGCGATTACGAAATTGGCACTTTACTGCTCCACAAAACACCTAACCCAAAAGACGGAAAAAGCAGACCGCCAATGACCTTGACAAAATAACGTATTAAGCGCCGTCAACAAACTGTACAACTACCGCGGATCTTGGCTGTATTTATAGGTCTCTTACTGACCTTCGACTTCTGGAATTGGAAGGTCAACTACCAAGGTTAGCGGTTCCCCATAGCTTTGGCCGAGGTGTCAGGTGATTTGTAGTCACGTGCAAGACTTAGAACATTCCAGAACGTTCGAAACCGATGCGATAATCGTTAATAATCGATTAATCGCTAAAATAGTGGATTTTCCAGGCAATTCTTACTTTCTCTCGGACAGACTAGGAGTATGGAATAGCTTTTGAGTTTATCCTATAGACACACTAACAATTGTAGTTAATTCAAATAGTAGAGTACCATCACGTCGACTGGAGTTTGTGGTCGTGAAAGAGGAGCTCACGCATATATAAGGCACCGATTGGTTGCAGTTTCTTGGCCTTGTTAATTTTAACCATAATCGTTTCGTTCATGCTTGCCAAGAAGAAACCGATGTTAGTGACCAGTGTAGTCTGTGTTTAGTACGGGTTTTGGGGTGTTAGGTGTCATTAGACCTATAAGTAGGATCAACTGCGCTGTCGGCTAGAAAGATTCCATCTGCGCTGCCGAGTTGAGTAAATTGACCGAAACTTGCGTGCTCCCTAGGGTCGATGTACCAACAGACTAGATCAATAGAGTTGAAATAGTTACGAAGAAGACAAGTGAGCTGTGTGCGTGTGTATCGACCCAAAACCATTGGACGAAGCTTTGCGTAGAGAGCATTACGCACTGCCTAACTTTGAAGATGTTCTACCTTGTCTAGCTAACGTCAAATATTTAAGGAAGATAGGTCTATCGTCAGCATTCTGACACATGCTCCAAGAAGAGAAGCCGTTTCGTGACGAGTTACGGTGGTTGCGCGTAACATTTGGTACAAAAAGTTTAGATGAGCTATTTCAGAAGTGAATGTAGCAAACGGTAGATGATCTCGAAGGCGTAACGTGCGTGGCAGACGACCTGTTGATTTACAGTGTGGGCACTGAACTGAGTCCCCGGGCAGAATCTGCCCTGAACGATTGGATCCCAGTCAACAGCCGAATGTACACTATCACCTTAGCTGGCTCGTCCAAAGCTTCGAAGTTGCGCCGGGACGAACAGTGCTTGTTTGTCTTCGCTGCATACATCCCTCACAAACCGTAGCACTTACTCGGTGAAAGATGACTTCTATAATCGAGTGAGCGAGTTCATTCGTTACAGAAAAAGTACTGATACTGGAGTACTGGCTGGTGATTTGAAAGCCCAAGTTGGGAAACTGTGCAGTGATGAGCTACATCTAGGCGGCCAACAAGGTGTAGGCTCCTGTAATGATAACGGTGAGCGGTTGTTGCACTTGTGTGGTGATGCTCGTCTATTTCTCGCGGGCACTAAATTCCGACGCAGCACACGCCGAAGAGTGATATGGCGACCACTAGCCTCAGACCAGCCATAGACGTAAATCGACCATATCGCGATCAATTACTGTTGAAGGGGCTGTGACCAAAAAACCATTGCCCGATTTATAGCAGGATCGTGGACTCAGACCACGGAGTTGTATCTGCCAATCTTACTGTTCATTTCGGCAGACGCCTTAAGCAACTCTGTGAGCGCATGGACATCAGCCAACTGGCGAAACCAGTTGTTCTGATTGCTAATCAAACTGGTATGGGTGACTATGAAGGACTTAGAAAGTATCATCCGGTGTGGCTCAATGGATTGTGTAAGCATGCAAAGTATCGCACCACGTTAAAGTCCAGTCTCTTAGTGGCGGTGAAAAAAGGAGGTCGAGGTGAATCCCTATGGCGTTAAAGTGATTTAAGGCGCAGATTATAAGTTATCACGGAATTGTGGCTCCCAGTAGAAAGCCAACATTATAGTTTCGTGAGGTGTTGAGAAAATCAATTTGGCTTGCCACATAGCCGACTGTGAACTAACTCGAATTCGATCAACAGAGAAAGGCATGGGATAAACGAGAGCGTATGCCACCGAGTACAAAGGGAAATAAGTGCGCAGATCTCACAGGAGCTTACCGATGTGAATCACCGGATAAGAACACAATTCGAGGTCTCCCATTGGGATCCTTGCACTCCTCACAAGCCTGTGCGAGGGGGCGCGAAAGACATCGGAGCAATAGCACTTGAGCCAAGTAATTTTTCTGCATGGAAAGTTCGAAGCCATCCGAGGTGCGTCCACAACCTCCAAATTCGACGCGACATTCGCACCGGTCGGCCAGGGACCAGACGAAAAGTTTGTGTAATTGGACGAAGTGGAGCAAGGCGAGAAGGCTGATGAGCGTAACAGAGACATAAGCCGCTCACGTATGGTGGACAAGTTGCTGAGAATAGTTCCTAAACAACTGGAGAGTGGAGGTGAAAAGAAACAAGACAATGATTGGTAGATGTGGAGGTAGAAGAGAGGTGTTGTGCAAATAATTGATGTAACGATTCAGTTAATGGGGAATATGGTCGGCCGGTGCCTTGTAGCCCAAAGGACACCGTTTCGAATCTGCGCAGGTGCGGGTGACTTCGCGCAACTGATGGTTGTTGTGTGCCTGGTTCACCCAGCCGCGTCAACAGAAAGAACTCGCACCGACTCTGCACACAAACGCTCTATTCACAAGTCTGAGGTAAAGTACAACTAGGTGTATATTTAAAAACTCACTCGCCCACTCGATCGATCGCCTGATCGACCGCACTGAGGCAGGCGAGTCCCACCGCCTCAGCTTTCAGCCACCATCACATCGTGCATACCTAGCCCCCACACGCGACTGATGGTGACAGCATCGAAACGTCTGTGTGGCGCGCAGCTGATGACGTTTTTGTCAATAGGGAGTATAACCAGGATGCAATGAGTTCAGCTAATCTAGTTAATAAAATTTGATCCGTGCCCACAGATGCGATGGATCCGTTAGTCATGATATACGTCGAGCAAATTAATATTAAGACCGGAAACAATAACGATAACAATCTGAATACTACATTGTGGGAGCAAGCAGAAATCCAGATCTATAAAACCCCATCGGAATAAAATCAAAGGAACCGCCACCTGATAGTCGAATCGTTCTTCAAGTTCTTATGTAGCATTTTCAAATGGCTAACTTACAGGTTCCCTTGGCTCACAAAATGAGATGTCATGGTCAGTGTGCAATCGTTCCCTGTATCGAATGACAGTGAAATGCAAATATAACAATATCTTGAACTGCTACACAGTTACTACACTCCATTCGAAGCACAGAGAATGGGGAACTCGTTTCATATCCAGCACCACAACCTTACACCGGTGTGTCCATGTGGGCTGCATAACATTCGCAAGTGAAGCAGTTGCCTTAACGTAAGATCGTCGCCGATGATTGACTCGCATCGATCTTTATACGGTACTCATCGTAAATTTGGATTGAGCCTGGTAGCGACGTGTTGGACTCGTTCGATCTTCTGTGTCTCGCTTCGTGTGATTGGGCAGTAAGCAGTTGAGCCGTACTCCAACATTGGTCCCATGGTAGAAGGGATGAGGCGAGTGGTGACCACTTCAGACCAAGAACAGAAGCTGCGCTTGGGCGTCCAAAGCATACACAGTCTGTAAAGATATAGCCTGTTCGTGGTATCCAGGGTCCTCAAATAACAACGCGAGTACGCCTAGGTCCTTTACCGACGACGTGGGATGTAGCGGTTGTCCGTCAATGGTGTAGGTTCGGTCGCCGCTACCCTTCACCAAGCTAAGGAATTGGTTGATTATGAGGCGGATTTCTGCAGACCACATAAGGATGCACAAGAGGTAGTAGGACGCTGTGTTAAAGCTAATGTGATCTGTTATATAGTCACTGGTCACTCACTCCTGTAACCAGAAGTGAGTACCTAACGGAGTGCAGATGAACAAACAACCTTACTGGCCATCGGCTTCTGAGTGGACTGCTATGGAACACAAAGAAGGCGAATGAGCCACCTGGCTGTCAGCGGTCTTCATACTCAGCAACATGGGTTGCTCAAGGTCAGGCTTTAACCACTAGGCTTCGAATTCCACCCCAGCTCAGGCTATCTCCATCTGGTGAGTCCAATCCAGGACGAAACCGGTTATGGGTGTCAGTGTTGGGAAGAGCAACACCATAAAATCCCCTTTAGGATACGGCCTTTGTGACCGGAATGACAGAGGTCTAATTCGAAGTGAACTGAGGTCTTAATAGAGATTGTATATCGCAATACAAACACACGGCGGGTACTCTAAAGCCAACTTTGATGGCGTGTGAATCACTCCGCTGCCTTGCGCGTCAGGTCTTTACGACCAAAGGCTAGGGTTAGGGTTCCTTAAGTCAATACCTTTCCACGGCCAGGGCAACCGGGAGCTATCTACCCAACACAACACATAACCCTACGTATTTCTTCCCAGGACTGTTTTTTCTCCCCTCTTTTTGTTAGTACCCATGTGTTGTGGTACTCTGTCAATCGTTGAATATATAAGCTAATATATATAATTCAGGTTGGACAATAAGCTGGACTTGTACAGCATCTTGCAACTAATGCCTACAGTCTGACACTGACTGAGACACGAGTTCGGGACCCAAGACAGTCTACTGGTTGTTGTCGCTACTTCACCTACACATCCGCTTCTGACTCCCCATGCTAGTGACCTTGAGTTTGCCGCTCTGAGCACGCTGGTGTTGGGATCGCGTTCAGCACTAGAGCCGGGGCCACCCTACTTGGTTTGATTCCAGTCAAGTCGTCTTCATGTCACGAGGTTCCGCGGCTCTAGCAAAATCAACAGACGTTCAACTGACAAACGTTCTCTTTTGTGATCTAAGTTTATTCGCATGCTGACTACATCTGGGACACGGTCAAGGACCAGTTCTATGGAAAACTTTATAATCTGCTTCTAAGAGCGCCTAAAACGGGCATCATCTTTATGGCAGCAGACTTCAACGCATGTGTCGGTCGGTTGCTGTCATGTGAACGCCACCTCGGGCGGGGGGGCGCACGGATATGTTCTGACAACGGAGAAAAATCGATCAGTCTATGTGTTGATCACCAACATTTGCTGTCCAGCACGAAATTTCGTCATCCTGGACGCTACCTGGCGTAGTCCACTATGTACAAAGCATTGGCTGCAGATTGACCATAGCCATAAGTCGCAAGTAGGGTGGCGGCATATGGAATTGCCAAGCATTTTGGTCGACTTGTGTCGAAACCGACCATGCACCGGTGTGTGCTACAGTTTGAACGCGTTTCGGTAGCTCACCCAGAGTCGAACATACCCGAGTGAGCTCTTGTAAATTGGAAGACCTTAAGGTGCAAATGTAGTATCAACAGAGGATTCTGGAAAACCTAGTTCCCCCAATCTCTGGAAGTTGGCCAGCATTGGTCAAGTTTGTAACATACCAAGCTGCCCAGATTTGCCCCGCTGCAGTCTCGCCAGCTGTAAAGCTATAAGCTAAATCCCGGCAACACCCTAGGAACTGCTAGGTCGGTGACGGGTTGTGCTCGCCAGTGCGTAATACAACGAATTCCGACGATCTATTTTTCAACAATTGAAAGCAAGCCATCGCTCTGACGGTGAATCCTGGCAGTAAAAATGAGTTGCTGAAATTGAATATAGTGTTTGGCGGCTCTGTGACTCGGGTATCGCCTGACAAAATTGCGTAGATAGCCGTTCAGTGGGAAGAATTTTAATACGTATTGCTTTTTGTTCTGCTTTGATTCCACAGTGCTACCATGTGTTCCGATTCTGCATAAGAGAGTTCGTACGCAGTTGTTTTGACGTTGGGTGGTTGCTGTGGTGGTCTAGAAATCGGTCCGTTCAATAGGTCAACAGTGTATGATGGGATGGAAAACATAACTTCACAAGACGCACAGAATGGAAAATGTACACCAAAAAGAATTAAAATGAAAAATGATTCTACGTGGAACGCGAATCATCAGTAGTAAAGACAGCACAGACTGTTATGTAGTGTTTAACACTAAAATGAAAGTCTAATACTCTTTCGAATGTCGCGATGTCTGGTGCGTTCAGCACATGTGGTACTAGTGCATTCCAGTGGGAACAGATTCAAAGAGAGTAAAAATACTTTCTACAATCCAAACGGGTGTTGCGTCATTATTTTCAGGTTGGTCCGTGCATGCAGCCATTTGATGTCAACAGCTCTTTATCCACCATCCTGGTGGCTAACGCGTCTAGAAATGGAAACTTGCTTTTTTGTCTCTGGACCCCTGGTGAACTGAATGCATCAACGGCATCGTTGAGCAACTGATGTGCGGTTTACATTTGACTGTGTCTGAGCATCACAAAAGTAGTGTCGACATATGGCATCTATAAGACTGGGTAGATTGCCATCAAAAGATTTGCTTCCAATTTTTGCATGACGAGTTATGCTGTGTCCAGATACTAGTGATTCCATTAACGCCCCTTTCACTTGCTTATACATTTGTCAACTGAAGTTGAAGCAAGTTGCGAGGCACAGAGTAAGTATCTCGCATATGTTCTACGACGCCAGCCTCCTGACTGTTTCCTTGTAGTGGTTCAGGTGTCCTTGGTGGCTTCATTTGCCAGTTGTATGCTGACAGACGTAAAGAGAGCGGTCACATCGAAGGATATTGTTATTTTATTGTGAGCCACTCTCACTTCTGTGAACTTCTCCGGAAATTGTTGAGCATTGTTTGTAGGGTTGCGATCCACACGTTAAATGCCTAGTGGTTCTCCATACTTCTTTCATCAGGATGTAGGTAGGTGTACCCAAGACGGACACGACTAGCCATAGTGGTGCGTCGTCATTATGTACTGTAGAAAGGCAGTAGAACTGAGTGATGTTTGAATCGCCGATCCTCATTCTGTGTTCTAGTGTTTTAGGTGATTTCGACAAGGCGAGGAGTTGAGATGTCGGTGTTTCAACCTAGTTGAGCAACTCGAATGCAGACGTTGTGTCATCAACGGAGGTGACATGCTCATGGCAAAGCAGTAGTAGGTAATAGTAGCAGCAGTTGCAGTAGTTAGGTAGTTAGTCGTAGTAGTACAGTAGTAGTAGTAGTCGTCGTCGTCGTCGTAGTAGTAGTAGTCTTGAGAGCAGAAGCTGCGCTTCGCACAAATCTGTGATGGATGCAGCCGGCTGGCAAGCCGACCCTTATACCCTTTGTTGCGTCGGTATTCGAGCTCCAACCGGATCAGCTGTCGGATGTTGGTCTCGACAACGTTTGGGTGGTTTTCATTGTCCATTGCGAAGGCGGTCGAGACGTTGGGTGGATCTATACGAGGAGCCTCTGTATTAGTTCCCAGGCTCTCGCATCAGACATGAAGGATAGTTTGCATGCATTAGCTGTGATAGAGGTGTAGCTGAATGCAAAGGAAAGGGCAACCCAGAGCAAGAATGAAGACGAAGGTTCTAAGAGCTGACTACTGCTGCCTCAACATAAAGAATAAAGCTAACCACGAATGAGCTGTGCAGGAGCTTCAAACGTGCCATTGTCGACAGTAGTGATCAAAGGACTAAGTCACACCGGAGATCTGATCATTAGAATAACCGGTTGACCGCCGCACATGATATAGTGCCAAGATAGATTAGGTCGTGTGGGTTCCTGACAATTATTAAAATTCACTATTCCATTAGGCGTTAATGCCAGCATACGGACGTTGATAAACATAGACGATACGAAATTATCATTTTGATATCTAGCAGCAAGCATTTATCTGCATTATTCGGTGCACCGAATTCGTTAAATAGGATAAAAATTCATCAACTAAGAAGCATATGATGTGGTCATTCGTGGAGAGGGAAATCCAAAGAATGATGGCGACGATGCAAGGGATTTAAGAGCTATCAGCTTTTGCATATGAGCGAGAAATTGGCAACGAAGATTGAAAAGATTGCTGCTAGCAACCATCATAATTGCAAGTTTCAAAGTAGACGAAAATCGACACAGTGCCTAATTTTATGCTCGGTGCATTTGGTAGAGGTGAATCCCAGAAGACCTAACACTTCCGCTGTGCTCAAAATGCAGCAAAGAGAAGCGGTCCACCTTAGAACGACATCCACAGTTCTAAACGATGGGATCCGTAAAACAGTGAGATGGGGTAATGAAAAGGACGAGAAACTGACTCACAAGTAAGTAGCGCCTGGAGGGAAGCAATCAGAAGCCATGATACAAATGTGCAGTGGGATGTTCAGCGAGACAAACAGCTGAAAAAGACGGAGAAAGTACAAAATAAAGGGATAAACGAATAGCGAGGTTAAGTGACCATGTACAACAAGCTTTCAACTACGCACAGGAAGAATGTATCGAGTTGATTATGCAAATGAAGAGGCATACGCAAATGTCATCGAAAACGGAGTGGTTAACTGGCGAAGTCACTAGCGGTCAGTGTGGCAGTGCGCTTCTAATTCACTCATGCGATCGAATCGCGAAACGATATGGAAAAAGTGTCCCAGTAGCCACACAGGGAAGTAATGATTAAGGTTACAGGGATCACTAGTTAATGCATCGTGGATGGGTTTACTTGATGGACTACTGAGGTAGTATAAGCAATACAAAAAGGATATGGAATTACGAAGCTTTTTTAAGGAGGTTGGTCGCAGCCAAACAGCGACTACACATTTGGAAAGGAAATGCAGGGCCGCTTCGTCACCCTGTGTGCTGATCCTGTACTTGGTGTGTTCATAACACGCACGACAGTGGAGGATGAGTTGTGTTATGTCCCAGCTGGCATGGATCAGTGGCATAAGCTATTGACTAATAAAAGTCATGTGTCTGGATTCGGCAGATGAGCGCTAAGGACGAGTTGAATAGGACGAAACAATCGTCTACAGTTTTTCTCGATGTGTGATAACTATCTGGGTCTGGCTGTGATGAGCTTAGTGAGAACACCAGAAACCCTCTGATACTACTCTCTAACTACGGATGTTATTATGAGTGGAAATATTCAAGCGAATAGGTTTCGGGGATGCACAAGAAAAGGACGTGGCACATGTCTTTTCGTGCGCGAAAACGTATGATTATTTTGCATAACAGAAGAGATGATTAAACGTGGGCTTTATTTTCATATAGCAAACAGACATTCGAAGACCTTTCAATGGAATGTGGTACGGGCGTGGGAATGGTACAAACGAAAACCCAGCGGATCTGATACACAATATGAAAACGATTGTCTAATTAAGATATCCATCGTATCCACCAACAGCTAAATAAAGATGGGAAAAAGGCATACGAAGAAGCATTATGGATTAGCGTTTCGGGTAACTGGCGATAGACTATAATTGCAAGTCCTATTTGCTCACAAACTGGAACAGGGTAGATAGAGTGGAAAACGTAAAATGATCGCGATAGTGAGTTTCAACAAAGACGTCGAATACAAATGTGGGAAAAGTTGATCTGGTTTTGAACATAGTATGGGACAGTGACCATTTTAACCTCCTAAAGCAAATGCCCAGTTACTAGACAGCATGAAGCTGAACTAACAGAAACAGCCATCGACGATTATCTAATTCCTTGATCACCAGTGTGAAGGGCAGGCAAGTGTCGTAGTCGTGCTTTCGCGTAAGTAGCCATAGGTAGGCAGCTTCCGAGTGAGTTAGGAACCCCTTTTGGTAAATCGGAAGACGAGCACATCACAGTGGTAGGATAGCAAACGAGAAATTTCACAGGAAACAAGGTTCTGTGGAAATTCCACCCAGGAGGGCATGAAAAACGCGGTGTATATAGAGGAAAGATGGTAAAAATGACATATTTTAATGATGATGAAGAGATGATTGGTGTGTTTTGAAGACTCGGTACATACAGTAACTTGCCGCATCCTTTCCAAGCAGATCTCATGAGGTTACTTGATGGGCCCAAATGAATTCGGGCGTCCCTTCTCAAGGCAAAGGTCATGCGCCTCACATGTCTGTGGGCTGCCTAATTCGGTGAGCGCTGTCTTCCATTGAGAGGGATTGTAAGGTTATCAAGCGATGATGAAGTAAAAGAGCTGAAGAAACCGACCGAGTGATTAAGGACAGCAAATGTGTAATGACTGAATCTAAGAGGAATGGTATATCGGTCATTCCATACCCATGGACTGTCTACGTACAAGCAAGTGCGGCTGGGATGGTAATTCGGTCGTGAAACGAATCCAGGCGAGTTGGTCGTATGTAGTAACATACCTCATTATAAAAGTTGGCGAATACATGCACTAACTTACTTTCCCACACTGGACAACAGAGTTCAAGTCCGCTAAATTGCAAGGCAGCCAAAACAAGCCGGATTTCGCATAGCGCGAGGTGGGGTGGAAAAGATCTGCGCATTCCAACAGGGGTCTTACATTCGGTGGACATGTCGAACAGGCACAGAAGACAATTGCTCCCTGGACCGCTAACTTTGTCGCTATCAGGTGACCGAGACCGCAGCTAGAACCAGTGATGAGTATATAGCTACCACGCAAATTTTTGGATAATAGGACCTGAAATTAGAGGTGCAAAACTTGAATGTGAAGGGCTTCTCTGTTCGAGAATACCATAAACTAAAGAAAATATACGGTACCGAAGCGCAAGATAAGCAGATCAACACAGTGATAAGGAGGATAGCACCGGTGTAAACTAGGGACACAGAAGAGGACACCACATGTGAGTGGAACACGGCATAATAATGAGAGGGCTAAGAGCGAACCGACGTAGCGGCAAAAGATAATGACCAGCTATACTATGCACGGGCCACATTGTAGGAGAACATGGAATAGCACGATGATTAGTGTGAACGATGAAATGTTAAGACTTTACCCAAAACTGCTCTGTTGTCTGTTTGATGCGCCATGCCGTACGCTAAGCAGTGTTTCGTTAGATCCAAGCATCGGCGAAAAGAGTCAACAGTGGTGTATTAGAAGGGTTGGTAGAGGTGATACTGAAGCCAAGAGGACATAGACTGTTTGTGTGCTCAGCTGTTCGATACAGGACTTCTCCTACCCTGCTCGCTTTTAAATGCCGCAATGGAAATACTTTAAAACACTGCTTTTGTGTGATGGCAGTATTGTTCCAATGATAATATTCAAAGATCAGGAAAATAAAATGCCGATTAAATAATCTGTCATATTCACTAGAACTACAATCCATCGACGACGGCAACAACCCACTCATTTTCGGCCGCACATAAACGTCGTTACTGCTGGATTACGAACGCCCATAGACAGCTTTGATTGATTTAACAGCATACTACAGTTCAAGTTCAAATTTCGCTTCAATTGAACGGTGCGCGTCTGCTCCCAGAAGGTAATCAAAGGTATAAAAGGAAATTTGATTGGATACCGACCAACCAAATGCAAAAGATTAAGAAAATCTCTCTGTGACTATACTTGCACCACTGTCTTTAGGAATCAGTCAATTTCTCAGATAACATCCGGAGTAGAGATTAGATTCCAGTAACAAACTCGGCTCAAACTGTCGACATCCTCCTCCTCACTAACTGAAGTGTTGCGAATCTGAACTCTTAACACGAAAATGTAAAATTAGTTAAACAAGAAAGTGATGATATCAAAGAGGGGTAGGTTAGCGAAGAGGTTAAAAGGATGGAAGAAGGATAAAATAAATAATGTGTCAGCTGTACGCCGTAAGAGCGCTTCGGTGCCGCGCGACCGTCACCATACCCGCGCGGGATGAGTATATCGCGAGGACGCCCACCTATACGCGGATTCGAACTGGAGGCCTTATGGCTGCAAACCAGGCGCACAGACCACTCGGTCACCGGCAGACGGATGGAAGAAGCATTGGTCCAGAATGTGTTAGTCACTTATACATCTCGTCATATGGGATGGAGTTAGTGTTCGCCGACGTAACGAAGTCACTGGCTTATTCGTGGTAAGAATGCGCACTAAAGCACTACTCAGACTTCCATACTCCAATTGCGAAAAGCGCTAAGTGGTCTTTAAGAGCTAGTAGGGTGGCGGTTGTGTACTCGGGATAACGAAACAGCACAGCGCAGGTAGCAAGCGGTGGGAAGACAAAGAAGTCAAGATAGTCAGTTATTGGTGAAATTAGTGATACATTCGGTAGTATATTCAGACACAGACAGCAAGCGGACGCAGAATTGGTCACATGTCATGTGAGCGAGGACTGAGTCAAGCAGTTCTGAACATGATGGACTGCGTCATTAAGACGCGTATATGGAACCAGATATAACATCACATGATCGAGCCTGGGCAAGACGATTAAGGTCATGAGATAGCAGGGAGACACACAATGTCTGGGAACTAGTGCAAGCACGCACGTAGTTGAAATGGTACAATGGGACGGGTTGGCAACGGTCCCCGTCGTATAGGGTCAGTTGCTCAAAGTGGATTGGTGAACCACAACAAGCCTCATCAGATGGATCATGTGGATATAAGGACCGTTATTCAGGCGCCTACATTAAACATAAGCAGCCGCTGCAATAGCTGAGTCAGTGTCACTTGCCCGAATTGCGACACCATGAACCTCAACTTCGACAGAGTAGCCAACGACTTGCTTTCTCAGTGGCTGGTTAGCGCTCCGCAACAGCAGCAGTTCAGTAGCGCGATGTACTGATGTTTCGCATTCAGAAGGATCCTACCAAAGGTGAAGAAATTGAAAGTCCCGATCAGACACTAAGAAGAAAATCGACTGCAGCTTGTCAGCAAAACAAGTCCGCAATAAAATTCAAATAGTAAGGGAAATGAAAGAAGCAAAATGAAAGGAAATTTAAGCGTTACTTCACACGATGCATCGACACCAAAATCGCAATCAGAGAGAGAGAGAGGAACAAAGAAAGTTACAAGTCAAACGCCACCGAAGATGGATTCGAGTCAACACAACAAATATCTTCAATCAAAAGTGTTCATCATCTTTCGGACCCCAACCCGGGAGTCCCGTGGCACAAACCTAGGCCAACTTCGAAGTAAGAAACGACAATTCTTTCGATCAAGTCAACGACTAGTCTCCCCCTTATTTTTCAACCCAAACGCGGGTGGCGTAAACCACGCACGCTGCGGCATTCGGTACATTTGTATATGTAATACATGATCCCTTTATCGCAAGTTGGCGTGTGTTAGATAATGGTAATAAGCGGCTCATCAGTATTTTCTATGCCAAACACAAGGTAGGACTCGTCGCAGCTAGACTCAGTCAGACAGCCACCACACATACAGGGAAGCGCTAGACGGCTGTTTCATTATGTTGGGACTCGTCAGTCGCGCACACCCGCCGAATCCTGCCGGATTCGAACCCACGACCTTACTGTTACGAGCCAGCGACTTATGCCACTGAGCTATGCGTAAGGGCAGCGGTCCTCCTTCAGATTGGCATGCCTCAACGTTCGCACATTGCTTCAGATCAGTCAACAGGCAGCATTTGCCCGAACTTTAGAGACCCTCTCCATCGATATCTGCTGCTTATCGGAGACCCGCCTGCAAGACTCGAGTTCTGTGCTCACTCTGCGATCCCCTTCAGGTGACGCAAGCAGTATTTTTTCATTGCGCCTATCCGGTGACGATGCAGCTTCGAGAACCGGCCAAACTGGTGCTGGTATTGCCCTGAGTCCCCGGGCTGAAACTGCTCTGGTTGATTGGATTCCAATCAGTAGCCGGATGTGTGCGGTCCGATTGGCTGGCTCGTTCAAAACTTCGAAGTCGCGTGGGACTAACAGATGTCTATTCGTTATCGCTGCCTATGCACCCACAAACTGTAGCGATGACTCGGTAAAAGACGACTTCTATCATCAACAGAACGAGCTCCTTAGCCACAGAAGAAGCTCGGACACTGTAGTGCTGGCCGGGGATCTGAAAGCTCAAGTTGGAAAATTATCCCCTGATGAGCTGCATCTGGGCGGCCAACATGGTGTAGGCTCCCGTAATGATAACGGTGAGCGGTTGCTTCATTTGTGTGATGATGCTCGCTTATTTCTTGCGAGCACTAATTTCTGACACAGCACCCGCCGGAGGGTGACTTGGCGCCCACCAGTCTCGAACCAGCCTTGGACGCAAATCGATCACATTGCAATCAGTTACCGCTGAAGAGGCTGCATCCAGAACTGTCGCTCGATTTGGAGCACAAGTGTGGACACCGACCATGCACTTGTATGTGCTGACCTGCAGATGCGCTTTGGCGGACGCCCAAGACGACGTTGTGAGCGCATTGACACCAGCCAACTGGCGAAGCCAGCTGTTCTGAAGTACGCTGTCATGCGAGTTGGATAAACGCTCACTGGATGCAATTGAAGGTCACTGGTCTCATATTCACCAGACCTTACTTGCAGCAGGAAAATCCTCATGTGGTATGTCTAATCGCCAACATGGACATTGGGTCTCTTCACAGTCTCTGGAACTTATAGGTGCTCGCCGGCATACTCCGACTGGAAGCGAACACAATGAAACTCGCAAAGAGCTCCGGGCAAAACTCCGTGCTAGCCTGAAGAGAGACCGCGAATCTTGGTGGTCTCATCATGCATCAGAGATGGAAATGGCCGCTACCCTTGGTAACCATCGTAAGTTATTCCGTCTGATACGGGAAACGGGCAGCAGGAGACCTGGTGTTAGTGAAACAATTTGTGACGAGAGTGGACAACCTATACACAACTTGTCAAAACGCTTGGAGCGTTGAGCTGAGCACTTTGAAAGGCAATTTAATCGGCCGGAATTAGATTTCTCGCCGGCCACTGATCGCCCCGCTCCGTGGGCTGTCCCTTTGGATCCACCCTCTCGCTCAGAAGTCGAACGTGAGATCGGACTGTTGAAGTTGAACAAAGCCGCGGGACCAGATGATCTACCTCCAGCCCTCTTCAAATTCGGGGGACCTGCTCTTGTGGATAATTTACACGAATTGCTAGTTAAACTGTGGGAGCAGGAAACTGTCCCAACCGACTGGAGCCGCTCCGTCATAGTCCCAATTTTCAAGGGAGGCTCACGATCGGAATGCGGCAGCCATAGAGGAATCAGTTTGATCTCCATCGCCTCCAAATTGCTTGCCTCTGTCATCCTTCACAGACTGACTGGCACTCGTGAAAGCCAGATTCGTGAAGAGCAAGCCGGGTTTCGTCGAGGTCGTGGCTGCATTGACCACATCTTCACCTTGCGTCAGTTGTTGGAGCACCGTCACATATATTGGCGGCCCACCGTTGTCGTGTTCCTCGATATCAAAGGTGCATTCGATTCTGTGGATAGACTTGCACTTTGGGACTGTCTACTCAGGAAAGGTGTACCTGAGAAATATGTAAATATTATCCGAGCATTATATGCGCGTAGCTCGGGCAGAGTGAGGGCTTACGGCAAGCTGTCGTCGCCCTTTAATATCTCCAGCGGTGTGAGACAAGGATGCCCGCTGTCACCTTTCCTCTTTAACTTCGCTGTTGACGAAGTCATGGAAATCGTGTTTACAGGACACGACTTAGAAGGTGTGGATCTGCTCCCAGGAGAACGACTTCTTGACTTAGAGTATGCTGATGATATTGCCCTAATCTGTGACAGCTCCCAGACGTGCTAAGCGGCACTGGACAGATTAGCACCAGCTGTCCTTCACTTCGGGCTTTGCTTCGCACCCTCGAAGTGCAAAGCGTTCCTCCAAGATTGGTCTGGACCGCCTCCTTTGCTGACCCTTGGTGGGGATCAGCTAGAAGTCCTTCAAAAATTCAACTACCTGGGAAGTTGTATCAGCGCCCGTGGGATTGAGGATGAGATCACGAACCGTATAGCAAAAGCTCGAGGCGCTTTTGCTAACCTTCGCCACTTATGGCGCCGGCGCGACATCACTCTTGCCCTGAAGGGTAGAGTGTACAATGCAGCAGTACGTTCGACCCTACTGTACGGTTGTGAAACCTGGCCCCTTAAAGCAACGGACCTGAAGAGGCTAGTTACGTTCGACCACCGGTGCCTTCGCAATTTAGCTCATATCTGGTGGGAACACCGAGTGAGCAACGAGCGTGTTCGACGCCTTGTTTACGGCACAGGAAAAGAAAATGAACCGCTCAGCACCGTTATTTCACGCACCAAGCTCCGATGGCTCGGCCACGTGTTACGCATGCCAGCCCACCGACTCCCGCGACGTGCGTTGTTTGCGCGCCGGGGGTGTGGATGGAAGAAGAGGAGGGGTGGCCAAGCGATGACTTGGTCGAGAGGAATGAAGGCCCTCACTTCTGAGCTGGCCTCGGTTGGAGCGTCTCGGCTCCCTGGTTGGGGTCCGAAAGACGATGAACACGTTTGGCTGGACACACTTGCTGACATGGCAAGGAGCCGACCTCAGTGGCGTTCGTGCTGTGAGTTTCTTTGTCCCACCCCATCCCTCTTAGCCTCCTCCTCCAACCACGATCTCATCATTTAGCCTTATATAATTTTGCATAGCAATTTTTTTGATGCACAGTAGCCGGCTGGTAGCTTACCGGAACGATGCCCATCCGTTACCGGTAGCTCAGCCGGCTTGCACCAGTTGCTTTTTTTCTCCTTTTTTCTATGTATTGCGGCACAGTAGCTGAGGTGTTCCCCACTTCTAGCTAACGTGTATGATGATGATGATGCAGCGGACCAACATGACGGTTGGAATAGCTCCCTGTTCCCACAGCTTCATTAATAAACTACGCAAGTCGTCCATAACGACCAGTCCCCGGATTTAAAGAGGGCTGGATAGAAGGTATCTTGTCCTGCGGCCTTTGTTGACTTAAGCAATCTAACTTCGGACCCGACATCTACGCGAGAGGGTGGATCCATAGCGATGGCCCAGGCAGCAGCGCGATCACTGGCTGGAAATTTAGGCGTTACTTCACACGATGCATCGACACCAAAATCGCAATCAGAGAGAGAGAGAGAGGAACAAAGAAAGTTACAAGTCAAACGCGACCGAAGATGGATTCGAGTCAACACAACAAATATCTTCAATCAAAAGTGTTCATCATCTTTCGGACCCCAACCCGGGAGTCCCGTGGCACAAACCTAGGCCAACTTCGAAGTAAGAAACGACAATTCTTTCGGTCAAGTCAACGACTAGTCTCCCCTTTATTTTTCAACCCAAACGCGGGTGGCGTAAGCCACGCACGCTGCGGCATTCGGTACATTTGTATATGTAATACATGATCCCTTTATCGCAAGTTGGCGTGTGTTAGATAATGGTAATAAGCGGCTCATCAGTATTTTCTATGCCAAACACAAGGTAGGACTCGTCGCAGCTAGACTCAGTCAAACAGCCACCACACATACAGGGAAGCGCTAGACGGCTGGCTCATTATGTTGGGACTCGTTAGTCGCGCACACCCGTCGAATCCTGCAGGATTCGAACCAAAGACCTTACTGTTACGAGCCAGCGATTTATGCTACTGAGCTATGCGCAAGGGCAGCGGTCCTCCTTCAGATTGGCATGCCTCAACGTTCGCACATTGCTTCAGAGCAGTCAACAGGCAGCATTTTCCCGAACTTTAGAGACCCTCCCCATAGATATCTGCTGCTTATCGGAAACCCGCCTGCAAGACTCGAGTTCTGTGCTCACTCTGCGATCCCCTACAGGTGACGCAAGCAGTATTTTTTCATTGCGCCTATCCGGTGACGATGCACCTTCGAGAACCGGCCAAACTGGTGCTGGTATTGCCCTGA